CTACGTTCATCACTCTCCCTTCCTATCTCTCTCTCTCCATCTTTTCCCTTTTCTGCTTGTACTTTTTTATTAGAATTTTTTTTTATATTATTTTCTTATTCATTTCTTTTATTTACTTTACATTCATGTTTATTATTATCATGCTTAGACGCACCTGCATTAAAGTGTCTTGTCTCTTCAGAAAGCTGTAATAAAAAAAGATTCACACAACAAAAACATCTAATTCATGGCATTTCCGTGTATTTAAAAGTACAATAAGAAGAAGTACGAATATCCTAAAAACAAAACGATAATCAAACCAATTCAACGCAAAACCACTTAAAAACAAAGCTAAGCATATAAATGAAAATACTTCAATAAGAATCTTATTTCATCTCAAATATAACATAGATCAACTTTCAGCGCAAATAAACAATAGAAAAATATACGAAAATGTTTTGAAAGGTAAGTAAATTGAAGAATATCACGAGTTATAACCTACACGTTTTATCTTTCATCAGAACAAAACCTGGAAAACGATAGGCACTACAAGAGGCGTACACTGATTCGTCGCACATAGAGATAAAGAGAAAGAGCACAAATAACATGAACCAACCACAACATAACCTCCTACTTCCTTTATCAAGTGACACTTTAAACTAACATTCAATACGAATTGTTTTTTTCCTAAAAAAAAGACGACAGCTTAACGCTACCGTTGCTAACCAAGAAGAATAAAAGTTTCAAAAAGTTTAATTTAAAAATAATTGATTGCAATTTATATGTGTACATATGTAGGTTAAATGCCTTTTAAACAGTTGCTTCAATATTTGCAAGTTAATAAAATTTCTTAAACATCTGCATATAAAGAGAAACTTACCCAAGTGTCTATTACATCGATCTACGACCAGCCTAAACGTGATTTTGTTTACCAATATTTATTAAAATTTATATAATTATTTGTTAAGGCAAGGAAACCTACACCGTAGGCTCACAGGAATTGGTTAAAGAGATTCCATTTCATTCAGAAACGCAACGATGATCGATGATTAAGCCGAAGTGATATTTAAGAAAACGATTGCGTAAAAAGTTTCTTGTTACTTAAAATGTAAAAGAGATCGAAAATGAAAAATTGGGGACGTAAAATGATTTATTTGTTTGATATTTAAAAATAGTTTATTTAACGTCAAAGAAAACTGAATTTATTTCACTGGTAACGAATGAAAGACAAAATAAGAGAAAAGCCTAGTCTTTCTTTTTGAAGCACACGTCAGAACTTTTCTACGCCGTCAACGTTCGCCTAATAAACTTTCATCCTCTAACATTTCTAATTTTGCAAATTGTGTATCCATTGAAGCGTGCAGCTCACCATTTACACTTCCTTTGCGGAACTCCTCATCAATAGTTGTTATATTCCACCTAATTGTAATGTTTTTGATTCTGCTATTAATAGATTGTTTTCTTTCAGATCCGAGATATCTGCATTAATATGTAGTGATTTTAAAGCTCACAATGTTTGTTGGTGTAGTCGCTTCTCCAATTCAAGAGGCAATTACAAGATTTTCTTGAAAGCAACAATTTAGTCTTACTAAGTAATGGTGACCCTACTTATTTTGGTTCCGTCTCTTCTTGCATAAATCTGTACACCTAATCTAAGTTCTCTGAGTACCTGGAAGATCCTTAACGACACCTTATGTAGTTCTCACTGTCTACTGGAAATTGGCTTTCGTTTGCGTCCTTTTACCCGCTGCCACTTACATACCCATGTTCGAAAGTACATCAAACCTTCTTTACTTAACAATACCATCTGTAACATTTCAAATATCATCCAAACAAATGATTCTTCGGTTTGCTTCTTTTATAAATTCTCAAAGTCTTTCACTGAAGCTCCGAACTGAAAGTCTTCTAAAATATCCCATCCTCCTAATCCTTGGTGGAACACGGCATGCACCATCAAACTTAGACTCGCTGTAAATAGATGCAAAAGATCTCCTTCTACAATAAATTTCAAATTTTTGGTCGATATTAGAAAAGAATATATTTATACTCTCAGGCTGGAAAAATGTAAAGGTTGGAAACAATTTTGTGAAACCGTCGATCTCAGCGACATATCAAGCTCAGATCCTTGGGTCACTTTCACAATTTTCTGAGGTGCCACTTTCTCCCTCACAACACTTGAACGAGTACTACGACAAACCTGCGGGACCTTCTGGTCCTGTAATTCCCTCTGTTTCCCTCAATGAGGAACATGATAATTTTTTCTTAAACGTCATATCTCTTTCTGAGCTCGACAAAGCCGTTAATTTCTTAAAAGACTCAGCTCCGGGCTTAGATGGTATTCGTAATAATCACTTCAAAATTTTGAATATTGACAAAATATTAATTCCACTAAAAGAATTTAATAATATTCTAATTATCGACTACATACCCTCTTTCTGGTACGACTTTCAAACCTTCACTTTAAGAAAAAGGAGTAACTCGCCAGTTAATTTTAATTCCTGCATATATATTGCCTTAGTTTCCACCCTTACTAAAATTTTCGAGAAAGTGTCTAGACTGGTATCTCGAGTCCAAACATATTCTCAGCAATTTTTAATTTGGTTTCAGACGTTACAGATCTGCCCAAGACAACATCGTCACTTTGCAGTCAGCAGTAAATTCAGCGTTTGCCAAGAACGACTTTCTCAGTGGACATAATCTCAACGCTTGATTTTGTCAATATCGACATCTTAAAATCTATTCTTCTCTCTTTGAATATCCCTACCAAATTATGTAATTTGTTATATAATCTCTTTCTCCATAAAAACATGTCAGTTAACAATGATGATGGTGTCGTTGTACAAAGGAGATCTTAAGTAGGTGTTCCTCAGAGATCTGTAATAAGTTCTCTTTAATTTATATGTTAACAAAATTTTCAGTTCCTCCTTGAAAATATCTCAATCGTGGGCTATGCTGACGATCCTGCCATTTTTAGTTCCAACTCTGATCCAGATTTATGTAGGCGCAATTTTCAATCTGCCCTCAACAATATTTCCTCTTGGCTTAAATCATTTCAAACCACACTTTCGGTCAATACGACCAAATGCTTGGTCTTTTCAAAAAAAAGGACAGACTTCACGGTTACTCCTCTGCTCATCTATGGTTCTTCCATCCCGTTTGTTAAAACTTTCGACTTTTTGGACTTACTCCTGCACTCGAAACTTTTGTCAGTGTAATCAAAACTCTATTTGGGATATTTCTTGTGGCTCTGAACTTTCTTACATGAGTAAACTGTATTCTGGCTTAATCCGACCAAAATTAGAATACGCCTGACGACCTTTTGAAATTATGCAGAATCCAATGAAAATGCCTTCGGCTGGCGCTTGGTGGAATGAATTCTACGCACGCACTAAGCTTGGAACAAATTGCAAATGTTATGCCTCCACAAAAAAGATTTCATTTACTCGCAAATTTTTTATCGAATAAAATTCTATCATTTGAGAATCATCCGGCCTCACCTTTCATTTACAACTTTATATTTCTCAATTCCTCTCCTTTCTTCTTTAAAATTTTTGCTGGCAAAACTAATAACTGCATTATTCTAAGAACGGGGGTACATAGTTTATTCAAAATTCCTCTTGGTTCTCAATATTTGCGATCTGTAATTAAATTCTTTCCGGTGAGAAAATCCACAGTTACTCTGGTAGAGGTACATCACCGTTACTCGAACTTAGTCAATACCAAATAGAAACATTTTTCTTTCATTTCTACTGACGAATCTAAGACCAATGTTGTAGGCAGTGGCGTTTGGTTTCCAGATATTAACAGAGACGTCTACTTCTCAAATCCCCACTATATTCTCGGCTGAAGATCTTGCGATCCTAGAAACCATCCGCTTAGCGAGTACTCAATTTCAAAAGAAATTCCTTGTGATATCAGACAGTGAATCTGCTTTATTCGCTTTACAATAATCAGATGCTTACTTTATAGCCTCAAGTTTGATATATTTTGTTTTCATTTTCTCTGGGCGTCCAGTCACATGGGAATTCTCAGCAACAATGCTGAAGATAAAATTGCTTCTGCCCGATCATCTCTTTATAATGATCGTGCCGTTATTCCTGAAGATCACGGGACAATTGACAAAAAGCATTCAATTCTTTCTTGGCAACAGCGACGGGATGACTTACCTGACGGTCGTTATTTATACTCTTCATTTCCACAAATAAATAAAGCTTCTTGGTTTATCATTTGCGGTCTCAGAAGCGGCATTATTTCTCTTATTAACAGGCTGATGATCAATCGCACGATATGTAATGATCATCTATTCAAAATTAACATGGTAAACAACCCTTTATGCACATGTGGAGTCTTACAATCTTCTGATCATATCTTATTTGTCTGCCCGAATGTTACCACTTTTATTCGCCATTCCACGCTTCGCAAATTCAGTCTGTGTGTTCTTCGTGATCACAGCATTCTTGAAATTTTGCGTTCTCGCAATTTAACAGCTTAAGTCGCAATCTTTTCTTTTTTGAAATCATGCAATTAAGACTTATAAGCGTTTACAGTCAATTTATGAACCTACTCTCTTTTACATTGTTTTGCTCTCACATCGGTCAATTCTTTCATATAACTTTTTTTACTCATGTACCACATTACATCTTATACATCGGAATTTACTCCTCGCTCTTTTGTCATATCTTACGTGACGGACGAGTAATATGCGTATTTTAATAAAAACTACAAAAAAAAAAAAAAAATATCGTGGCGGACGTATAACACGCAAAATTAACAATGAAAAAAAATCTTTAATCAAATAATCACTAAAGTAAATAAATAATAACATCTTATACCAAATCTAACCACAATTTAACTAAGGCCCAAAACAAAGAACTCTGTGTTTACGTTGGGCCTTTTTTACACATTCCAGCGAATTTTCAGTTGTCAACTTGATGAATGACAGAAGAAGAAGAAGTTTATTTATTTATTTTTCTAATAACTTATTTTATAGACAAATTTATAGGGTGTGTGGAAAAAAATATATTTTTAGTTTTTAACTAAATAACATATTTTGTTTTCTTAAAAATTAATGCTTTAAAAAATTTCTTAGCCGAGGTATTCAATAAGATCTTCGGTTAACTTTTGTACTTTTGTAATGCAAGCCAGCAAGGATTTTGGACACGAACTAAACGCTAAATGGCAATTAGCACCAGAACGTCCCAAATACTCAGCTTGAAAATATTCATTATCCTTGTAAGTAGAAATTTTATCGGTCGACGATGAAGGTCTAAAAATACGTAAATAAATTAAAACGAAGCTCATACGATGGTTACAAAAAAGGAAAACTTACGTTAGCAATATATAAAATAGCTCCGCAAATAAACCGTTGTAATAATGAAAAGGTGCCTCAGCTACTTCGCAAATACTTTTCATTACGCAGTCACGACCTCCTAATCCCAATCTTTAAACAATAGAATTTTATGTTTACATTTGCTTTTTCTCTACTTTTTTTTAAAGCGTATATACAATTGAACTCACCGCTGTGTTAAAATTTCTAAGCCTTTGTACATAGCCCAGCGGTAGCTGCTTCGGTAGTTTTGATTTCTCTTTGAAGATACAGTTGCAGTTGAGTTTACCGCCAATTCATTGACGGCGGTCAAAAAATGTTTCGATGTTGTCATTTGATTATTAAGTTTGCGCACTGTTATGGGTAGAGGAGTTTGTTGTTTGAGTTGTTCCACGTCGTAAGGTAAAAAATACTCAGCTTTCAGGACATAGCCAGTAGTCAAAGCTTCATAGTCTAAATCTTCCAATGGTATGCCAATGCCCGCTAACCACTGTAATGCGTTCATAAACTTATTTAAAGAATAACTTTATAAAACAGAAAAAAAAAGTCGAATGCGCAACGATTTAAAAACAAGGTGTTAACTTACCTGCGTTCGGGTAGGTGAAGTGGGTGGAAATATTAAAGGTAGCTTAGCGCTCACTGGTAAACGATACAAGCTTATTAAAAATAAAAGACTATTCACAACTTTATCAAGCAACATTTCTTAAACACAAAGTAAAATAAGTTTTGACATATTTCCATAGAATGACTGAAATCCAGAGTCACTCTCTCAAACTGAATCGGTTTCTAAGGTTGGTATCGAAAGTAACCCATGAAAAATTAAAACATCTTAATCAATTAAGAACAAATATTAGTTACGCACGAAGAAACCAGTTTTTGTTTTTTTACGTTTTAGAATTCTTCTTCTATATTGTTTGTTTGCCTATTCTTCGATCACTTATTTCACATCTTAGAACAACATTTCCCAAAACAAGTTGCTTTAATTAACACTTTAAAGTAGGCTGCAAATGTAAATCGTTAATCTGTTTGTGTGCTCGTTTCTGATTTAATCATTTGTGAAGCAATACCGGGTGTTGCTATTATTTATGCAATAGTTGAAGATCAAAAACTTATACTGATATCCTTTTGACGTCTTCCTCAATTTCTTTCAGAAAACTTATTTAGCTCATATGATGGATCCAATATAATTACACGCGAAAGCAAATGAATGCTAGGCGCCCCTGTTAGAATCTACAATACTACAATGATATAATTAAAGTATGCGAGACTGAGTTCGCGCCAATCTATCTTGCTTAGCGCTGTGATCGCATTCAATTAGTGCAAGAATTCTTTTCACAACTACAACCACAAATATAATCCATAAATACGACAGCGGTGAAAATATATTCTCAACTTACTCGGTTCATACGATTCATAAACTTTCTAAACGAACAACAAATTCTTGTGATGACGAAAAGGTTAAATTGGTTCTGGAAATGCATTTTTCACTTAAGAAAGAATGCATTCACACCCTGTTTCCGTTCGTACTTATTTTGCATGTATTAAGGGGAATCTACTAAATTTTTCAACCCATTTGTAATACTATATGCAGATTGTATATAACGCACAGTAGACTGGCTACTGCTGTTATAAGACCACAATAAACGATTAGGGAGGGAAATCGAAAATTGTGCGTAGTTAGATTTGTTCATTTTGTTTACACGCATTCTTCATTTTAATTTGTATTCTTCATTTGCATTTGCAGCAAGACCGTTAAAATGTTCAAAATGCATAATTTGCATAATTTGCATTATTTCTTCCGTATATGTTCGTAATTTCATTTATTGTTACTCGCATAAACACACACATACATTTTACAAACACATTTTTATAATTTAATGCTCTTTGCTTGACAAATAAATGGATGATATCTAAGATTCGCTGCGAAATAACCTAACCTCCTTCAATATTTGCGCAGCGAGAAAATTGCACTGTCAAGTGCAGAGTGAAAGTTTCTCATAGTAGCTAAAAGCGCAACAGTTACAAATTAACCTTTGAAGAATAGCGATATGTTTTCTTTAGAGCAACTGCCCGTTGTACCGTTAAAACAATGGTCGCATATCGTTGTAGTGACAATATTATTGAAATCAACCAAAAGCAATGTGCTTTTTACCAAACACGGATCATTTGGTGTAAGTATTTAAAATTTCCTAAAATTAATTAATCCAAAAGAATAACACCGACCGAAAACGTTTTACATCTCATCGTATTGTTTTAAGTATTTAGCCGCTGTGGCCATGCCATTGGATTTGCCCAATCGTAATATTTATGTGGCCTTCAATTTTGAGGCCAATTATGGTTTGCCGTCAAATGATTCTTACCATGAATGGATTGATAGGGTAAGTAAACGATGTTGTCATGTATAGATATATGCGTGCGCTTAGTGAAATTTCATAACGCGTTGTTTTACTTCTGCTCACGATAAAGTGGAATTTAGATGAGGAGTTGCTGGGCATTAGTAATAATATAACCGCCATTGACGGTCGACAAATGGCGAAAAGTAAACGTACCCCGCATCGACCGACTTATTATGGACGGCACTCATTTTATCAAACATTCGTTGGTTATTTAAATTATTTCCACATGAATGGTACGGCATGTCTACTGAGAACAATTTGTGAAATAGCCTCTTCCAATTTGGACGAAAACAACGGCGTATTGGGAAGCATTTTCAAAATATTATTCATGTATGTAATTACGAAGATAAGCCAGCACGCAGACACACATTCATTAATGCAAAATGTACAAGCTTAGTATAAATGAAATGTACTAAATTTATACCAATCTGTATCGTCAATGTGTGCATTCGTTTGAGATCCACATATAAATGTGTTTTTAAGTGTATGTGCGTTTGCATGTGTGCTATTATATACTTAGTTCGTGGTAATTACTCCTTTGGGACCCATTCTCTTCATTCCATTATTCCCCCCTTTTCGTCTTCTTGTTTTTCAATTACACATAATTATATAGGCCAACAACGTCAGCACGAGAAACTCCATCTCTATTATTATCAGGTCTTACGCAACACGACCTCTATCAGGCCGAATACCGAGGTAGCCAATCGAAAACTCAAACAGGAATCACAACTGATAATCATATGGATACCGCAACAAACTGTCTAGATTATATGGACTGGTGTCCTGAAGAAATTATTAATATGATTTCAACTTTATATTAAAACATGTTATGTTACTATTACATATTTTGTGCATTTACATGCTCTTCTTTGTTGTGTAAACGAAGTGAACGAAGTTTTGTATGTACATTAAAAAAAAAAATAAGTGAGAAAGTTTTATTTTTGTTCTTGTGAAATTTGTGTACCTCATAAAAATTTGATTATTAATTTTGCACTTGGCAGTGAGCTAATATCTACTCTATTTAAGTTGATTAAGGCATTTAAATGTTATAGAGATTTTTACTAAGACACTACAATCTAGTGCAATGATCGAAGATATCACGGGTGAGCGGACGTAACCTAAGGAATATAGTTAATTATTCTGATGCTTATGCAATAGATAGGGACAAAGTACAAAATTATTTCAATAATGGATCGAAAAGCTTTGTCAATGTAATATACGACATTACTCAATAAGTCACCGGTCTAACTTGCTGTTATTTTTTTGCAATTTTGTCGTTCAAAGCTTTGTACCTTCTCAGGACAGTGGAAGGACATTATACCATGCATACCATGTATACCATTATTTGGTACGCACGGCACTATTTCTATTTTGACGCTTGGCAGCAATAATTGCTGTCGGGTACCATCTGATGTTTCCATGGGAAAATTTAGCATTCTTGAACACAACCTTTGTCAGACCATTTTGACTTGAAAATTCGGTTTGTGCACAAAAATTGCATTAACTCGTGAAAAGTTTAGTTCGATGATTTTTTACAAGTTTCTATGTGAATCATCAAGACTTCGATTCATCATCAGTGCATCGATCTCCTTTTTTTACCTTGAAATTTGGCGACGAAGCGTCACCCTTTGCCCTTCAGAAAAGCTGATATAATGAGTTTAATCGTGGTCGCCTGTCGCTCACCGACGAAAGTCACAGAGATCTTTTGATATCACTTAATATGCGAGAAAACAGTGATGCTTGGGAATTGACACAACCTTAGGCGTTAGTTTCATAAGCATATATAAAATATTACATGGTCATATTTGCGTGAAAGAGGTTTGTGTCCACTGGATTCCACATCATTTCACATAATCTCGGAAAGATGCTCATGTCAATGGACGCGAACAAATGCTTAAGAAATGCGATGGCGATATAAAATTGCAGGAAAGTAAACAGTAATTGATTGCGTAGGTATTTTAAGATGAATCAAATACAACAAAAGTTGTTCATCTTTTCTAGTAACGGACTATTTAAAAACTCGAAAAATCGAATTAACCGATCGTTTGCTTCACAATCATAATTTGAATGATTGTTTTTGTTTCCGAACGGCAAGAATAAATTGTATGTAGTACGAATTTCGTCAGTGGAAGAGGGCGTTGTTGCGTTCAAAACACATGTTTTGGTAGAATTTCAAGCAGAAAGAATACAATTCTATGACAATCGGTTGGAGACTGTACAGATTACTGTTTTCGCATTATTACGATTAATACAGAGGTGGCGCCAGATCAAATGCAAAAGGGGACATCATCCACTTTGGATGGAAAAGAACCTGTTTTAAACATTGCAAATTTCAAAATATTGCGTGTGGTCATTTACAAAATTTATAGGACATGTTAGTCCAAGGATTGATGCAAAAACTTATTCAGCTTATCTAGGTGTTTAAGGCAAATATCATATGATTTTGGTCGAGTAAGTAATAAGTAATTTATTTTGCATTTGTTTATCGTATTCAATTAATATTGCTCCACCCCTTCCGCTCTTCCATGCCTCCTGCTACAATATTGACTGCCAAACAAATCTTTTAATGATTTATTGAAATCATGCTTCGATATTTGTGGATCGAGCAAATATTTCTATCAAGCCGAACGAATTCATATGGACATCGGTTTTCGCTAAGCGAATTTTCATGTAATCATAAATAACTAATTAGATTAGAGACTTTAAACCCCCGAAAAAACATTATTTTTTAACAAAAAGTCCAGCTTCCTGTAGCAAATCCCTAAGGATTGAATTAATTGAACGGGAACAAAACATTTCTTAATATTTACATTTAATTATTATTTACTGAAATTAGATATTTTTTAAGTTTATTGTTGTTAGCAATACGCTGCAGTAGAAATCAAAGAAGGCGTCATTTTTGCGCTTAAATTAGTCCTTTAGAATCAAACCTTTATGTACAAAAAAAAAAAAAAAACGAAAATTAAATACGCAAAAATAAAAATATTATAGGTTTATGTCAAGCCTATGTCGAGTATTAATTTTTTAAAAATTAAAAAAAAAAAATAAAAATATATATATTTCTATATGAACTGTCGCATAAGTTAGGCTACGAAGACCGAACATATTCAAATGTAGAGAGGATGTAAGTGAATAAATTTGTGAAGCTAGATATTGAACTCATTTCAAAGGTCAATATTTTCGGAAAAACTCTAACTCTTTGCTATAGCTATTTTTTTAGTAGATTTAGCTGTAATGCTCTGATATTGGAGAAGAGGACCTAATCGAAGCAACTTTTTGCGCATTACAAACCGTATAACAGATCCAATATAACGCGCCAGCGTCGAGTTTAAAGAACCAGGCAATGCCAAAAAATTCTATATGTACATGAACTCCACAGCGATTTAAAACAAATCCTAAACTGCCTTCAAATATATATACTTCTAACAACAACGACAACAATAAATACAGTATGTAAAGAAAATTTCAAACAAAACATCAATTGTTTTGATGACGGTTTCAAAAATTAAAAAAAAAAAAAGCATTTATAAAGACGTTTACTGTTTTTTACGTTCTTAATATTTTAGAGCATTGTTGAGAAAAAACAATTGGAATAAAAGAACATATACGAAGTGATAGGAGTGCAACACCGTTTATGAACATCGAAATATATTGTGGTTCCTTAAGTTTTTTTTCGCTTTTTTTTTTTTTTTTTTTTATTTTTATTTTTTTTTTTGATTAAGCGGAAGACAGCTAAGCGATCCGTTTAAAAACATGTTCTCTCGCAGAATCTTCGGTTTCAATTCAGTTTAGTCAAAGTCCAGCTTTTAAAAACAAATACTAATTGTGGAAACAATGAAACCTCATTGAAAATATTTTATAAAAATCCATGAATAATGAAGTTTTCTCTAGTTTTTTCATTTGCAATAAATAAAGATGTGAAAAAAAGATTGCATTTGAAATTGTGCTTATAATGAACTGAAATTTATAAAAAAAAAACAAAAAATGTATTATTTTTGTTTAATTTTTCTTCTTATTAGCACGAAACATTGTAGTGTAACTGCAGTTTTCCTAATCTCTTTGCCTTTCTTATTTCTGCTCGAAAAACCGAATACATTGTTGCCTTGCTGCTTTACCACTGGCATTTACACGTATTGTCCGTATGACTGAACAATCTGTGTTCATGATAAATACACGTGCATTATAACATAAAGTAATCTGTTTACTATAACTTTGCAGAGGCGTGTAAGCGGTTTACATACTTTCTTTTGAAACACCTTTTTGCCCTTAAGAAGATATCAAAACCGCAAATAAAGATGTTTTCCTTTTTCCCGCTTTGTGCACATAATGCAGGCTGTATATAGTAGATTTGATAATCCCATTTAATCTGTAATTTGTAAACCTGATTATCAGAATATAATACTGGTATTTTGTTGGTAAATATTTGGAGTCGAACTGATATAAGATATAAGGAAACCAGAACAATGAAAGAAAAAGTTGCACTATGTTGTGTGAGATCAAGACGAAAGCAATACAAATAAAGATCATGGACATGGTTGGAACAGATGTAATACTGAAATGCGATATTGCTTTTATGAGTACGTATAGGAAACTATGTACATTGGTTGTCTAAAAAGTTTACGACTTGAACGTGAAGCTGATTTCACTTGTGTCTGCGTGTGTGTTCATAAAAGTTGAAGAATATATTTGCGCACGCATTGATAACTACTAATCACAATTTCAGTCATTTTGAATGCTTGACTATCGTATGAGTGAGTCAATGGGAACGTTTTTGTGAAAATGAAGAGGATTGAGTATCGAGCTGTCGTTAAGTATATGGCCTTGAAAGATAAACGAATTGAAGACGAATCGTTCGAGACGAATCGACGATAAATATTCGAAATGACCAAAGGCTATATTCACTGACGAAAAGATCGCCCAAGTTCAACATATGGCGCCGGGGGTTGCAAATTTATGGTTAACGGGTACGCAGAGTGTATGAAATCACAAGTAGATAGCTATAATTCCAAAATTACATAACCGGACCATCCCAGGTCTAACCTATAATGATTACTCTCTGCTGAAAAATCTTAAAATTTGATGCAAAAGCGTTTTTTGAGGTTTTCGAAAAATCGTTTTATGAAAAAAGTATTGAAATCTTGGAGGGCCCTTGGATTGACCGTATCATCCCCGAAGTATGGATAAGTGCGAATTTCGTAAAAGGTAATGATTTTCATATTTGGATGGGAAACTTTTCAGCCATCTCTCGTATAATCAAGGTATTACATACGTTCAAGCCCATAATTAATGACTATTTTGCCACGTGCAACTAATAAAAATTAACGTATTAAGAGGTAACAACAAAGTAAAGTTTTTTTTATTGGTTTAATAATGTGTTGACTGTTTGTTTTCATTACTTTAGAGAAATTTTTTTTTGTTGAAATTTTGCGCTCTTTTAACCCTCAAGAAAGGCCGCCTGCGTCGAATGAATGAGAAGTTACAGCTCAATATCTTGGGTGGTGATTATTTCCAGCTCGATTGTTGTCGCTCAAAAATGTCTTTGGAAATAGTTTATACTTTTTTAAAAATATATCAAAACAAAAATTCATAAGTGTAGCTTTATGAAGACAGCCGTTGAATAAACTTGAAGCTGAGATTAAACTTTTTTTTTAATTCTGCAAAGAAATTAAAATTTTAGTATGAAACATTTGGTGTTGATTATGAACTCGCCTGTTGAATTATACATTTTATTGTCGTGTTCTTTATCGCTTTGCAATTCGTAGAGTGCTAAACGTACGACTCTGTCTTTAAAAGATGCAGCCAAAGAGGCATTTGCAAGCAA